CCCATTATACGAGTCTATTAAGCCTATTATTGACTGTAATGAGGTGACTTCCCCCGTTCTTTATCTATTAATCTTATTAGTATACTAAGTATAATTAAAGATACGTCTTTAGCGAATTATAATAGAATATATAGATATTATAGTGGTGGAATATATAATATAGTAAACGCGGCTGCGGCCTAAGGTGTTATGCATACCTAGGAGTATATATAGTATCTCCTACGTGAGGATAGAGATAGAGAAGTTATCTACCTTTTTTATTTATATTCGTTAATTAAGGTAGTATAGCTACTAGAAGGTGTTAGAATTTGGACTAATACTATATTAGGTGAAGGTATCCTCTTATTTAATATAAGAAGAAGAAGAAGAAGAAGAAAAGAAATACGAATATACTTTACCTCTCTAAATCGCTTACCCCTCTTTACCCCACCAGATCGATAACATATCCCTTATTACGCTATTAGTTCTATCATATTTCCTTCCCTAATTCTATTCTGTTTATCTGATATAAAGTATGTGACTTTAACCACTTTCTGTCTATAAATACGCGCGAGACACTAAGTAGAAATAACAGACCTTTCACTCTCTTCAAATATTCTACTATCCCTTTCTATCTGCTTAGAAAGACCTTCTTCTTAGTCCTTTGTTTAAGGATTGTGGATTGTGCTTATTTAGAGTGCATAAGCCCTTTACACTCTATCTTATTCTTTTTCTATCTTTATCCGATCAAGCCTTCCTTGGTCGGGTAGTCAATAGTCCGTGGTGGGGAAGCATCTACAAAAGCGTACCCCGCGCCACGAAAAGCTTCGTGGTATCCGCCTCCCTGCAAGGCCGACAGAAGGCCTTCTTTAATAAAGTAGTAGGGTTTGAGGGTTATACTAAGCTTATGTAAACCCCTAGCCTAAGGGTGACTAAGTATCGCACGACTGGCCAAAGCGCACCCCATCAAAAAAAAAGGTCCAAATTTCTAACCCCTGTAACTACCTCTTCTTTTGATTGTACGATCTTTAAATTGAAACCGGGTATAGAGCGATCGCGAATTTAGAACTTTTGAAGTTTTGATGATTGTCCGACCGATATTTTCAACTGGGATGCACTCGAGAAGTCCAACTGGTATGCACTCACTAGCGCCGTTTTTCGCCCATAGTAAAGCCAAAACCCTAACTGGTATGCAATGCATCCCACCACCCCCCATGGGATAGATCACGTACGAGTTTAAAACTGATAAACTTTTGAGGGTAATCGTCCGGTGGAATTAATGGGCATCCTGGGTCCGAAAATGTGGGCATCCTACCCCTGACCCACTTTTTTTTCCCATACTTAAGGAAACCCTAATGTGGGCATCGTGGTAGGATGCTCACACCCCCATGGGATAGATCTCATCCGCGTGGGGATCTAACCGTAATGCCTTATGCAATACCATAAACCGCGCAATCTTAATCATCTTGGACAAAATGGGGGGTACGACTCGGGCGTCTGCCAACCGTCCCGGCTGCGCCCTAATACGGCCAATGCACATACTAATGCACACTCGTACTCCTCGGCGCCTACGCGCTGATTCAGTAACTCAATGCAAAAGTCGATGCATGCTTGTTCAATGGGTGTGAACTGGTATAGCTCGGGATCATCGTTCGTACGACCATGGGTGGCCGGGTCGGCGCCCTGCGCGGACGACGACTGGCCCAGCTGGACCGTGGACTGGGCACAGCGCCATAATGCCTGCCACGCGCGTTGCTGCCGCGATATAAACCGGTACCGGGGACTGCGCCATTCGTGCGGCTGCTGCGTACGAGCAAAAAACATTAACACCCGCTGCCATGGCTCCACGTGTCGTACAATGTTATCCATATCCATATACGCCTGCAATGGTTGATGCGGGCTCTGGTCCTTCTCGGTCCGCGCGGCCTCGATTCGGATTAAATGGCCGCATTGCTTGGTAATACGCTGGCTCACGCGGGCGACCCGATCCATGGCGTCCCAAATGGCACGTACGACGCCCTCGGGGCCCTCGGCATCCGGATCGGGGGTGGCGATGGCCTCGGACAATAGTCGTACGGGGATCCCCTGCAAATACTGGGCCCACTGCGTCCGCCGTAACCACGGGTTGGCCTCATCCAGCTCGCCGGCTTGTACGACCGTCTCGTCGCTGGCCTGGGACGCGGTGAAACACTGTTCGAGCTGGTTCACTAACCCTTGGACCACGGTAGGGTGCGGCGGAGGCTCCATCGGCTCGTACGACGGGCCGGGCCGGCGAACGTGGATATAATGCGAGTTAGTCCCACGGTGAAATAACCGCTGGCATACGACGGACTGCATCGAGCCCTGAATAGTATCCTCGGCGGCCTGGACGGTAGCCGCGGTAGGCTGCTCGCGCGGACGAGGTATCGCCCACTGATGTTCCTGGCGCCAATGGTTCTTAATCGACTTAGGGTTCCGGCAAACGTACCCACAATCGGGCTCACGTATACATAAGATACCGTCCGAATAAATAGGTAACCCACTGATAGGCTCGTCGATCTGGGTAGGTAACCATATTTGGTCTGGGTCACCGCGTACCCCGTTCCAACTCCGAACCTCTTGGGCGATCGTACGGGCGGCGGCAATAGATAATCGATGCGGACTACCCGTTAAATGGCCGACGATATGCTGCGGTCGGACACCGTGCTTGCACGTACGGCAAATAATCACTGGGAATGCGTCGGACCGGGAAAATACTTGGTCGGCCATACGGAATGTTGTATGAATCTTAGATATTAAGTTACCCCTCAATATTAAGCTGAATTATCTAATAAGTGGTCGTCCAACCCTAAGCCTAACTGAACACTAGTGGCCGTGATAGCGCTCGGTCGCACCCCATCAAAAAACTAATCGAATTTTTGAATCCCTGCAAGTACCCTTTAATGTGGCCGGGTTATCTTGAAACTCTCCCTGTTTATAGATCACGTACGAGTTTAAAACTGATAAACTTTTGAGGGTAATCGTCCGGTGGAATTAATGGGCATCCTGGGTCCGAAAATGTGGGCATCCTACCCCTGACCCACTTTTTTTTCCCATACTTAAGGAAACCCTAATGTGGGCATCGTGGTAGGATGCTCACACCCCCATGGGATAGGGTCCTTCTATGGTCGTCCGCCCTCGTGGTCGCCTACCCCTAAAACGGCTAACGTATATACTAACGCGCACTCGTACTCGCTAGACTGGATCTCTTGATTTAACAATTCGATCACAAAATCCATACACTGTACTTCGACGGGCTATAATCGGTTGGCTTGGTCGCCGGGGTCCTCGCTTGGGCTCGGCTCGGGACGGCCCGCGTAGGTATGACTCTTAGCGGCCCGCTATAATGCGTCCTATACCATACGCTACCGATATTTAAATTGGTATATAGGGCTATTCCACTTATAGGGGGTTTATATATGGGTAAAAAACATCAATATCCGCTAGTATGGCTCGACGTGACGCTCTAACTCGGTGCTCTCGTGTATATATGCCTATAATGGCTTGGTAGGGATACTATGTATATCGGTCCGTGCGGCTTTAATATGTAATGGATAACCGGTCTGCTTTGTAATGCTCTGGCTTTTGCTTACGACGCCAAATATAGCGTCCTATATCACGCGTGCGGTGGCCTCTGGGCCCTTGGCATCCTCGGCCGGCGTTTTAATATATATCCGTAATTGCTTGGGCGTCTGGCCTTGCAAATAATATGCCCATTTAGTTCGGTCTAACTATAGGTTCGCTTCGTCGATTGTACCGGCCTGGATGACTACGGGCTACTACTAGTGCTAGGTAAATATCGCTTATATCTTATTAATCGCTTACGTCACACGACTAACTAGGGGAATAGGTACGGTAGGCTCGTATTAGGGACCGAGATAGCGTACGTGGATATAATGCGATCTAGATTTACTACGAAAAACCCGCTAGTAAATTACTCGCCGTATGGCATCCTCGCGTTTTCTCTATCCTATAGCGGATGCGGATAGTCTAACTCCGCTCGTATGGCTATATATGGAAAACTAATATGTTCTCGACTAATGCACTCGTAAACTATCGGGACTGCGATAAACCTAACCGCACCTAGTAATCTAATATAATAACCTATCTTCGTAAATGGTTAACCTTAGGATGGGATATTCTATACTTATGGGTAATATCCCGTCCTCGTTGGATATATCGTCCCACTTATCTCTATTTTCAATAATATTAAATACTTGCTGTGTAATACCTCGACTGATACGATGAATACCTTTGGGGGTGGTTAAATGACGCACGATATCCTTGGGCTTTACGGCATACTCGCACTAGCGATAAATAGTAACTCCTCACTTATCGTTGCGGATAAAATATTGGTCGGCAATAGTTAACTCGGTGGGTTCACTTATCTTGAACGTGGATATATATTTCGTAACATAGAATCTGTGCTAAACGGATATTGGAAAACTCCTATCACTGGATATAGCTCGGATGTTGCTAAAATTGAAATTGGATACTACTAGGAACCCCTGAATCCTACGACTGAATTTTTAATCTCTAATCCCTGCTAGTTACTATGTGATAAATCGGGTGTGGTTATTGGCTGGTGATGGGTGATGACTGGGATAGCGCGGCCGACCGTACCCTATTAAATTATTTCACGAACTTCGCATCCCTATAATAAGCTCTCTCAATCGTCGGATGAACTTATAACTTAGTAATATTAATAATAAAATACAAAATTAAAATATACCTAATTTTTGGCGATCAAAACCAATGGGAACCTTATTATAATCAAACGAAAATATCACAAACCCTGATTGTAATTAAATCACTCGGGAAACCCTAAGCCCATACTAACGGATGCTTAGTCAGTTGTAATGAACTTGATTACAACCACCCCCATGGGATAGGGAGATACATGCCCCTCGATCACCTCCGCCTACGGCATTAGCACCGCCGATTTCATCAAATGGAACCCTTCTGTCGAGGCCGACTGTACCGGGCTCTGGGCCAGCTACTATATGTGCGTCAGCGTGATCGGCCAGAGCCCTGGCACAACGACAAAAACAGCCAGCACACAACCAGACCCAACGACCCCCCCGAACGGCATCGAGACACCGCTACCGATCCAGTCCGGCATGGTTGACAACTGCGATGCCTTCCACCTGGTAGTAGCGGAAGACACCTGCGATACCATCGCAGCCAAGTATAAAATCACCACCACACAGTTTGTCGCCTGGAACCCGGCTGTCGGCAGCACCTGCAGTGGCATGTGGGCCAATACATATGCCTGCGTAAGCATCATCGGCCATAATCCCAGCTCAACCACAACCACCACCACCACCAAAGCACCACCCACCACCACGTCCGCGTCTGGTCCATCCCCAACTCAATCCGGTCTGATCAGCACCTGCGAGACCTTTTATAAGGCCCAACAGGGTGACACATGCGAGATAATCGCACAACAAAAATTCCCCTACATCTATTCTCTGCCCCTGTTCAAACGGTGGAACCCGGCTGTTGGGGAAAACTGTGATAAACTCCGGCCTGGATATTATTACTGTGTTGCCACACAACTCCACCACCCCATGCCAGGAATTATCAACACCTGTAAGCGCTATTACCAGGTCAGTGACGGAGACAGCTGCTGGTCTATTCAGCAGAAATACGGGATCACAGCGGCACAGTTCAACAAGTGGAATCCGCTGGTTGGGAGCTCGTGTGCAAGCTTATGGGTGAATTATTTTGTTTGCGTTGGTGTCTGAGAGAAAATGGTCAGGTTGGAGGACCGGTTGCAGATAGATCAGGTGGAAAGACCAGAGAGTCATAGAATCATGCAATCCCACTTCAGTGTCTCCACCTTTGGAGGTTGCATGGAAGTGCGCTCCTGGACGGGACTCTGGAAATTAACGAATAGGCAGGGTACAGGCAGGCTATCCCGAGGTATACCTAATAGATAAGGCGTGCATACGCGGGATCCGCCGTACTGCGGCCACGCACCATGACACGTTTATACCGGAGAAAGTACATGTCGAGGATAGTGGGGTCGTGAAATACGCCCAGAATAGTTTAGTTCCATTTGTGTCGCGATTTCTTCATTTGTATTAGGGGATTCTTGACACTCCGAGAATCGGTGGTTTTCAACCCCCCTTACCCTACTAGGTAAACGAGGACACTTTAACAGGTCCTCGCAGCATCCGCTCTTTTTCGTCTGGTCTTCAACTGAATTCATTTCATCTTTTTGGATTGGTTCCCCTTGGTAGATTAGCCCCATTCTTGCATACAATGCCATACCGTATCAGCTTGCCCTGACAGTACATATAGCTCTTCGAAGAAGCACCATCCCTAATTCAAATATCAGTTTCGTAATCTATATCGACGGTAATGCCAAGAGAGAAATCCTGCCAAGAGTCTATCTCGCTTGCATTCCTAGCGCCTACCCCTCACCCTTACCACGTCATCTGCGACCCATCTGCCTCCCCAGCAGTTGTCCACGGAGTTTGCCGAATGAATATTTCGAATACGTGACCATGGAACCGCTTTCGGGTGAAGCAAGCCTTATCGAAGTCATTCAAACAACAGAAGCCATCAGTAAGATACTCCGGAGGTATATCAACATCGGTCGAATCAGAGAAGGACGGTATGATGTTACCAGGCTACAGGACGAGATTTCTGCCCTTTCTCAGCCACTTGAACCGCTTCAAAAGCTCCTTCACGACCGAATCCCGACACAAACTGGTCCTTCCCAAGGTTTACTTGATGATATTACCAAATGCGCTGCAACTCTCAGCAGATTACAGGATGAGATTGAGCCAAAAGCAGCACAGTCACTACTAAGCCGATGGGAATTTCAACCCTGGAAATGGCCTTTGGAAGAGAAGGAAGCGGAGAACGTCATTCGCGAAATCAAGAGATATAATTCCTTGTTTTGGCTATCATTAATGTTAAACCAAACGTGGGTGTATGATCGGCCTTTAAACGGAGGAGCTAACTCATAATTCAGGCAATCTCTCAATCTTCTAATCAATCAGAAGATAGATATCAGGTGGTTACATATCGCGAAAGGCGCGGCATTCAACGACCCTGATAATCAACAGATCGAATGCCTCCCAGGAACCCAGGTGGAGCTCCTCGGCAAGATTGGCCACTGGGTAAAAACCCCCAACGAGAAATGCTTGTTCTGGTTGAGTGGCTTGGCTGGAACGGGAAAGTCAACTATTGCTCGGACAGTTTCAAGCTCTTTGGAGAGACAGGGGGTCTTGGGGGCAAGCTTCTTCTTCAGAAGCGGCGAACAAGAGCGAGGAAACGCCAAACTACTTTTTCCAACGCTGGCAAGACAACTCGGAGATACCATACCTCAGCTGACTCCCAACATCCAACATGCAATAAGGAATGATCCAGAGATCTCAGCAAGAGGACTTGAGGAGCAGTTCCAGAAGCTCATCCTAGAGCCACTTAATGAGCTGAACCTGGCCCGCTCAAGGGCAACTATACTGATCGTGATTGATGCACTGGATGAATGCAGCCAAGATGATGATGTCCGGGACATTCTAGAACTTCTACCACGTCTGCAGGAATCATGCTCGGTGCAGTTTCGATTCCTGCTAACAAGCAGGCCAGATCTACCTATGAAGCTAGGGCTTCAAGGTGCCACAGATAATCATCAACATTTGATCATCCACGAGATCCCTCATTCTGTGATGGAGCACGAAATCAGAGTCTACCTGAATCATAAGTTCCTGTGGTTGCAGCAGGAGCGCGACCTCCCAGCAGATTGGCCAGGGGAGAAGACAATCAATACACTAGTTGAGAGAACTGCTCCGTCGTTTATTTCTACTACTACGCTTGTTCGATTCGTCAGTGACGACAGCGGGAATGCTGCAGAGCGCCTTGAAGCTATTCTAAGTGACCAAACTAATTATGCGACAAATATGGAGGGTACATATACGCTCATATTAAATCAACTTCTCACAAATGAGGATGAAGAAAAACCCCGACAATTGATACACGAGTTTCAGAATACAATCGGCATTCTCATTCTCCTTGCTACTCCGCGGTCGGTGGATTCTTTTGCCAAGCTTCTACAGATGGAAACCGACAAGGTCCAGGAGCAAATTAAACTGTTCTACCCTGTTCTCGATGTTCCTGCTAGATCAGATGAGCCAGTCCAGATTTTACATCTTTCATTCCGGGATTTCCTTCTCGACAAGAAACAAGAAGAATACCCATTCTGGGTAGATGAGAGCTTAGTGCATAAGAAACTCGCCGCACAATGCCTCAAAGTCATGCAAGATCCAAAGTATGGACTACGGAAAAATATCTGCAACTTACAAAATGAGATCACGCCAAGGGTCAACATCGATAAAGATACTCTTAGTCACTGCCTGCCATCAGAATTACAGTATGCCTGTCGATACTGGGTACATCATCTGGTACAGAGCCATAACCCAGTCGATGAGCTTGCTGAAGTTCTTCCTTTTCTTCAATCTCATTTTCTCTATTGGGTCGAAGCGATGAGCCTTTTGGGATTTCTATCTGAAGTCGTTGGAATGATCCAGAGACTACGGTCGTTAACCATAGAGGTACGCAGATGGAGGCTCGGTGTATTAGTCAGTACTAACAAATATAGACTTACAATGACCAAACACTGTCCAATTTCGTATCTGAAGCGCGGTCTTTCATTATTCGAAATCGACAGATAGCTGATACCGTGCCCCTTCAGCTTTACTCCATAGGGTTAATATTTGCTCGAGAAGATTCAATGATCAGGAAAACATTCGAAAGTGAGCGCTCAACCTGGAGTTTGGTACCGACAGTCAGGGAAAGGTGGAATGGGCATATCAGCCTGTTTCGCTTAGTCGCCTTCTCACCAGATGGTCAACTATTAGCGTTCAGCAGCGAGGATCACACTGTTAAGCTATGGGACCACCGTACGGGAGAACTGCGCCAGACGCTCAAGGGCCATACTGATTGGGTTAGCTCGATCGACTTTTCACTAGACAGTCAATTGCTGGCATCTGCTTCCTTCGATGATAGTATCAAGGTCTGGGACACCCAGACAGGTGAGCTGTGTTATACGTTCTGGGGCGGTGTCGATGAGATCTACTCAGTCACTTTCGTATCTGACGATCAACTATTGGGGTCATCCGAAAATAACACTGTTAAAATTTGGGATCTATATACAGGCGAGATGCGCGTGGTATGCAGTTGAGCTGTACCAGACACCTGGGAGCATTTCTATTGGGGTTGGGCTGGGATTGTTGTTCGGAAATTGTACTTGAATATTGGTGGATCATTAGGCTTACTGCTTCAGAGTAGATCTGAGCACTATCCCATGGGGGGTGGTGGAATGCAATACATTCCATTTAGGGTTTTCGCTTTACTATGGGAGAAAAACGGCGCTAGTGAGTGCATTCCAATTGGACTTCTCGAGTGCATTCCATTTGAAAATATCGGTCGGATAATCCTAAAAACTTCAAAAGTTCTAAACTAGCGATCGCTTTATACCCGGTTTCAATTTAAAGATCGTACGATTAAAAGAAGAGGTAGTTACAGGGATTAGAAAATCAGACCTTTTTTTTGATGGGGTGCGCTTTGGCCGGTCGGACAGAACTTAGTCACCCTTAGGCTGGGGATTTATATAAGCTATGTATAACGTATTTCCCAAGCGGGTCGCCACCCCATTAATTTTCGCGTCCCTATGTATCTCTCTGCCAGTTTAATCACCCACTATGCCACCAATTCGTTCTAAATCAAAGCAAGATTCTATCGAACAAGAGGGTAGGATCGAGCTAGCAATTCAGGCTATTCAGAACAAAACGATCTCTTCTACTTCGGCCGCTACGCGTACGTATGGCATACCGCGATCCACGCTACGCGACCGCGTCAATGGCCGCCTTTCGCAGACTACTATCCACGCCAACAGTCATAAATTGACTCAATTAGAAGAGGATACGCTTACTAAGTGGATTCTTTCTATGGATGACCGCGGTGCAGCCCCTAGGCCTAGTATGGTACGCGAAATAGCTGATTTACTACTTGTATCGCGGGGTACCGACCGTGTTAGCAAGAACTGGCCTGGAAACTATATCAGCCGTACACTATCTATCCAAACCCGCTTTTTACGTCGGTAAAACTATAAGCGGGCTGAACAAGAAGATCCACGGATCCTTCGTGGGTGGTTTCGGCTTATAGAAGATACTATTACGCGCTATGGTATCCTACCTGATGATATCTACAACTTCGATGAAACAGGCTTCGCAATAGGACTAGTTTCTACCGCAAAGGTAGTCACCAGAGCTAAATACTATGGCCGTAGATCTATTCTATAGCTAGGTGTTGGAATATCGACCAATATATATATTGTAGTGGTGGAACGCATGACATAATGAATACAGTTGCGGCCTGAGGTGTCATGTGAGACCACGCAGTAGTCTCTAGGTCAGGATGGGTAAGCGAGGTAGACACCTTCATATGCGTGTAATACAATGTAGTGGATTGTAAGATAAACTGAACGCTGGCCCTTCTCAGGTCCAGCGGGGCTTCACTTAAATACAGACTGGCCCGGCTGCGGGCGGTGAAGCCCAATAACATGATACTGCCATGGCATCTAAGTATGCCTCAGGCCGTAGTTGGTATCGTCAGTCAGTGGTCCTGACAATATCCCCCTCCTTAGAGACCACGTCCCTGGGGTCTAAAAGTAGAAAGGGCCTTCTCGATAACGTATTTGGTCCATTAAAACCTTGCAAGGTAAAAACCTCCCTAATCGAGGGAAGGAAAACCCTAGTATAGGAAAAGGTATCCAATATCACGGGGTCGTCTTTGTGATAGGCTGCGACAGCTTCTGATTGATGGGATGAAGAAAGGGTTTCCTATTGAGCTTTTGTGGGGTATCCGGATAGGGCTAATTCGATCATTAGCTAGTATACCGTTTGCTTAAGGCTTCGACTTTTGCGGTAACTTCCTTCTCGGAAGGTTCCTTGTCGTGCCTATAAAAGGGTCTCTTTCCCTTTTCTCTTCTTCTTCTTCTCTTCCCTCCAACCAATCTTCCTACTCTTTTGGTAAGTCAATCTTTGGCTGCGGACTGAGGCATCTTTTGCTCCCTCTTTTGCTTTGCCTTCACTTTATTTTGTGCTTGCTTCACTTCACTTTATGCTTGCTTCACTTTGTGTTTTATCCCCTTCCTTAGGGAGATCGACCCTAATCTTCTTTGCAGACTGACATTTTGCTAATTGTCATTATCGCAGATAATATGCCTTGTCCGCGTCATATCTCGTCTAGTGAGGAGGAGGACTTCTCCGCTGCCGCCATGCGGCTTCCGCGAACTCCCCGATAGGGTCCTATTTAATAGGCCCAGTCCTCTCCTAATCGTTATGTCCGTGATCCTCCTCACGAGGTCTTATCCGGAGACGATTATCGATAAGCCCGTGGCCCTGTTCGATAGGCCCAGCCCGGGATATATATAAATCGTTCCCCTTCCTCTTCTCGCGAGGGTCCGTCCACCCCTTATCGTCCGGTGAATTCTAAGCTAACTACTCCGGCTATTGAAGCGAAGCGAGATAAACGCCCTCGCCAGAATACTAAGGAGCGCCGGCGTAAGTGTATTACTTATACTGGTATAGGTCGGATATGCACTTGGTCAGAGGATTCCAAAGGAAAGGCTTTGCCACGTTGCGATGATTGCACCGATCGGAATAAGAAGTATTAGGATATCCCCCTTTCTATAAAGATCCTAGATCTCTATCTCGAAGCACTAGCAGATCATTCTCCTGCGACGGACATTGCCCCTACCCGTGGGCCTCGTTTCTAATTCCTTTAAGCTATTAAGCGGCATACCGAAGCTAGCAACCGCGAGGCTAAGAAGGTTGATAATAGGAAGACTGCCCTAGTTAAGTAACACTCTCGTCGTCGGACTGCTTTACCTTCTTCCCTAGCTATCGTAGTTCATAGCACTAGAAGTTCTCCCACGACTTCCCGTGGTTCACCTATCGTACCTCGTTGAGGTCGTATTAGTAGTTCTTCTCTCTTTAGCCGTGGTTCTAACCGTGGCGGCGATCAGCCTCGTCCGTGTCGTGCTAAGAGTCCTCGTGTGGTGGTTCCTTCTCGTTTCGCTGCCTCTGCTCGTCCCGTTACTTCTGTATGGGGGAGCTTATCCCCTACCTCTGTTCGTGAGAGTTCTCCCGAAGAAAACCCTTACCGTGGTGGTCTATGGTGTCTTTTCCGTGGAAAGAAATAGGTTAGGGCTTAAGCTAATCTTTTCTATTTTCCTTGATCTTTTCTAGAATATTATCTTTTAGCTTTTTGCTCCCTTTCTATGTCTTTTCCTCGTAGATTTTATCTCGTAGACGTCTAAGGCTAATATATTTTCCACGGTAGCTAGGTCTTCCTATATGCTATCGTGGTTAGGGTATCCTTCCTACTTCACTAAGTATTGTCTCGGGGGATTCCCTCGGTGGGCTCGAATCTCCTCGACCTTATATTCTAGTTACTTATTCACTAGAACTGGCCTAGGTAGTTCGTTTTCTTTTATAGGGGTGCCATAAAATTTCTCTAGTAGAGAAATATGGAAGACTGGATAAATTAGTCTATAGATTGGAGGTAGTCGGACACGATAGGCTTGTTTGCCAATCTTATCGGATACTGTTGGAATATCGACCAATACATATAAGTGGATCTACCCTCTTATTATTCAACATAAAAGAGGACAAAACTAGGTTTAGGCTAGGAAACCCTAAACCCTAGTTGGACATTCATTATATATCCTGGCGCGAGGAAGATGGTCGACAGTCACGTGACCAAATGGACCTTAGCCCTAGAAGAGTAGGGGGGACCAGTCTCCTGGGGGTTGGATGGCCCTTCTTTAGGGGTAAATAGCACTCGCGCTAGGGGGTGTGTATAGGCGGTCAATACCGCCTAGATTCTTGACTCTTTTCTATGCTGTTCTATCTGCTTCTACCCCGCTTGATCTGCGTTTACTATGCCTTGTCTATGACATCATTGTCTATGATCTGTATGCTTCCATTCAGTTCTATCACTTCTCTTTGAGGTATTTCCTTTGGTCCGAAGCATATGATACCGAGGTATATTTGTCTATAAATACGCGATGGATTACCAGGTAGAAGAATCAGACTTTTCACTCTCTTTGGAAACTGCCTAAGTTCCTTTCTTGCTTGTCTTGCATACAAAAGGGTAAAAGCAACCGTTAGTCAGTGTGATCATTCCTCTACGAGTTAAAGCGTGAATTGTTCTCGTTTAGGCTACATTAGTGTGTAGTCTATCCTAAGAGTCTTCCTTTGTCCAACTTGGACCGACCAGTTGGATAAAGCGATATAAGACACTAAGGGGGTACGCAAAGCCTAGTTGGCGCCACGAACGGCCTCGTGGTATCACCGTCCTTATTGTCCAACAGATACCTAAAAAGGTCTGATATATTTAGTGTCTAGCTTCATCGAGGCACGGTGCGATATAATGTTCTTAGCACGTAGTAAGACCTATTCGCTAATGGTAAATGATAGATTAAGGTGATTTTTTATTATAATAACGCTTTATGTCCTCCTTGGACTAGGTTAGTTTCTTTTGTATAAAGGATCTCCGTTCTTCGATATCCTTTATCCGTGCTTTCGTATCCCTATAGTGCTCCTTAGGATAAACGTCTACGCTGATCCGTAGATCAGGTTTAAACCCTTGGAATGCTTTATATGGGGAAGTTCCAGTTGCACTATGCTTAGACTAGTTATAGTATATCTATGCTAGTGAAAGATAACTGGCCCAGTCGTCCTAGTCCTAATTGATATAGGATCGAAGGTAATATTCTAGCGTCTGGTTTTACCGTTCCGTTTGCCTATCTGTCTGTGGGTGGAATGTAGTAGATAACCTTCGATTTATACGTAGTAATGCATAGAACGAAGACCAAAATTCGCTCGTAAATAGGCTGCCTCTGTCACTGACCAAGTTCTTAGGCATACCTAAAACTGGTAGCACTTTAGAGAACCATAGCTGGGCTAGTTCCTATGCGTCTATGTCCTTAGTGTATGGAAGATATAATGCATATTTAGTGCATAAGTCTACCACCACTAGAATCGCGTTATATACCCTATCCTCCTATTTGGAGGGGGTTATGCTAGTGATAAAATCCAAACTGACCTATTCCGCGGGTTGAGTAGGTACTGGCATTGGTTGTAGAAGCCTATATGGCTTATGCCGCTGTGTTAT